TAATAATAATAATAATAATAATAATAATAATAATAATAATAATAATAATAATAATATAATGTAACAGGAAGAAGATGCCACTTTTTTATTTCTAGCTTGTTTCTCAAGTTCTACTCTATAAATTAAATTACTTATTTCAACATGATCTTTTCAACACAATTAAAACAACTGAAAACAGTTTGAAACTTAAATTCTAGTGTAATTGTTAATCAGAGAGAGAGGGGGAGTGGATCAATGGTGGGTTATGACCAGTATGCTCCTACCAGGAACACCAGGTACCGTTCCGGTACAGTGCTTTGGAGGGCCCACCCGCCCGCCCACACTTCTTACCGATATTTGAGGTTTTCGGGGATTCCGCGCATGCGCACAGACCATACGGCGCTTGCACGACTGAGCAGCTAGAACATTGCAGAGCGTCGTGGGCGGTAAGTACGCATACGCATATGGTGGACGCCAGGCCCCATTGCATCGTATTAGTTGCAATGGGATCCGGAACCCACCACTGGAGTGGAATAAAAAATGACCAACTCAGGTTCAATAAACAATAAATGAATACTTTGGCTGTAATAGATTTACTAATACCATAATTTGAGGAACAATTGTCTGTGTATCTGAGTATATCTTTATGCATTTAAAAACATGCAAATACATCTTAACTCTGCCAAATATTAATTGTATAATCTTTATTTTTAGGTCATGGACCATTTTCACATATGTTTGATGCAAGATTCATTCCACTTGCTCGCCCGGGATTAAAATGGAAGGTGGGTATTATTTTTCTTATTAAATTTATATGTATTGTAAGTGAGACATGCTCATGGAGATTCTCAATCATCCAGGTCATGGTTGTCCCAAAGGTGCTTTTCCAAAAGGCAACTGGACTTCCTTGGGGTTTTTTCCCCCTTGAAAATGTTTTACTTCTTATCCAACAGGCTTCTTCAGTTCTGACCAAATGGTGGGGAATGGAAGGATTTATATTCTTTGCAGTTATCTGGCTGTTAGCACTGAGAATAGATCATTAGCTCTCTGAAAGTCATTGAGGTCAGTTGGGGGTTTATCTGTGTCTCAGAGTTACCTGAATTGGTCTGCAAATAGGTGTGTGGAACCTTCTTGGGACTGCTGAAAGTACTGTGTTGTAGACAGGAGATAGGTGGTGTCATCCCTCCCTCTCTGTTTAGAGGGGGCTTTTCATTTTTAACATAGAGTTAAAAATAACAGAGTTGGAAGGAATCTTGGAGGTCATCTTGTCCAACCCCCTGCTCACACAGGAGACCTGTACTAGGGATTAGAACTGCCGACCTTTCTTATTGACAATCTTCGTGTCTTAGCTACTGAGCAACCAAATGAAGTAGCAATCATAAGCTGCCGGAACTAAAAAGCATTGTAGACTTCCCTGGCTATGTATGCCATTCTCTTAAAAAGAAGTGATTTAACATCTATCTATCTATCTATCTATCTATCTATCTATCTATCTATCTATCTATCTATCTATCTATCTATCTATCTATCTTTACAGCATGAGCTGGCTTCAGTTCAGATGTTTGAATACTTAATTGATTCCAATAACTTAAAGCCAGACATGGAAAAGTATGGTCTCCAGCTTGATGAAGACATAGATTTTATCAAAGAACAGATAGCAAGTCCTGTTGAGGAGAAAATGGGAGACAAAGAGGTGAGTTCCAATTTTTTCATATCCCTGGATCTTATCTAAATGTTGTGCAATTTACTAGAATAAACAGGGATCAGAAGAGGAAAGGGGCAAAAGGCAAGGTCATTAGTTTTAGTTAGTTGTTTATTTTTAATATGTAAAGTGCAGGAGTCCAATAGCAGAGCAAACAGTTACATGCGGAAAGACCCAGGCTTAGTCCTGACATTTCTGAGGGTGGAAGATGCTACTTGCTGACATGTTGAGAGCCATCATTAGAATAGATGTATAAATGTTTTTTTTTCCAATCCTGTTCAAATAAAAAATACAAATTACTTTCAACATTGCTGTAAAATTAAAAACTGAACTCAAAAATGAGGGAGAGCTTGTAGGAAAATTTTGAAACGTCATACAGAATTAAGATATCCACTAGGGGCACATATATAAACTCTTACTCAGATATGACATGGAGACAGAACAAATAAAACATTGCATGTTAAAAAAAGGTGCAAAATGTTTTAAAAAGACATTATACAGAAATGGGAATAATTATGGAATACATCTATAATGGGTGGGCAATTAATTTTCCCAAGGGGCCACATAAAAAACTGGGACTATTGTGGACAGTGCCTGCTACCCTGCTGTCCACTCCCATGCTGCACTGATGCCCTGCCCTCTATGCCAACACTGCGCCACTGTCCTGCCTCCTGCTGCCACCCTTCTTCCATCACTGCTGCTGCCTCAGCCCCCACACCCCGCTGTCATTGGCCGGACTGGGACTGTCCACTGTTTAATTTTTTATGATTAAAATACAGATTATAGCAATTAATATGCTGCAGCATTTGCAAAACTTTGGAAAGTTACTTCTTAAAAATCTTGGTTTGATTGTTTTAACTTGTTTTCACCATGAAATAGGTACAAATATTAATTCGAAGATGGTATTTGCTTACATTTTTGTCTTTCTCATCCAGTGGCCCTATTGTGGTCGTTCCAAAAACAAGAGTTTTCTTTACGAAATAGTGGCTAACAAAACAAGTGGCATTGATGTTGATAAATGGGACTATTTTGCCAGGTATGGAAACTTTACTATTTACTGGTCTTGAAAACATTTTTATAAGCGATTTTGGAAGTCTTTTGTGTACAATGCCTTCAACAAAGTGATTTTTTTTCTTTGTATATTTTTTTGCAGTTAGACTTCTTCAATGTTACGTGGTTTTAATTGTTTTTATGCTATTTGTATTATTATGTATTATTTTAGATTATTAGTCATCTTGATGGAAAGGCAAGCACAAACAGAAATAATAAATAATATAATGTGGTACCGTGTTTCCCCGAAATGACAACATGTCCTGGTAATAAGGCCATGCCACATTTTTCTGGTGGGCAAAAATATAAGCCCTCCCCCGCAAATAAGCCCCCTGGACAACCCCCCCCACCCACCTCTGGGCAGGCAGAGCGCCACTCACCAACCTAGTGGTATCCTGAGGGTGCCAAGCCACGGGAACTGGGGGAGGGAGGCAAAGGTAATCGCATTGCTTAGTGCCTTCGGGATACCGCTAGGTTGCTGAGCGGCTCTGTTCTCAGCTGAAGAGGGGGGTTGCCGGGCGGTTGCTCTTTTGCGAGCGGGCTCCCAAAGAGCCAGACACAGCCTCATGGGCGAATGGCTGTGTTGCGCTGTCACTACACTCATGAGCACCCACCCGACAAACCCCGGGGCCAGCTGCTGGCAGAGCGTACAACCATAGAGCGTATGCCCAGAGTGGCCACTGCCGGAAGACTCAGTTTGGAAGCCGCAGAAAAAGCCATGCGGTGGCAGCAGCGGAGGTCCCCTGGCTCTGCAGAGAGAGCTGGGCCAGGGCATCATGAGGCTGGGAGACGTGCAAGCAACAGTGGAACAGCCGCTCGCACAACCCCCCTCTCCAGCCGTGCAGAGCGCCATTTACTGCCATTTCGAAGGTGCCAAGCCGTGGGAGCCGGGCGATGGCGAACAGGCGCTCATGCGGCTTGGTGATACCCCTAGGTCAGTGAAAGGGGATTTGCCAGGTGGCTGTTCGTGAGTGTGGTCACTTGATGGTTGCTGTGTTGCGCTGCTGAGACAGTGCAACACAGCCATTCGCCCATGAGGCTGTGCCCGGCTCTTTGGGAGCCCGCTCGCAAGAGAGCAGCCACCCGGCAACCCCAAAACAATAAACCCCTCCTAATAAGGCCCAAGCCATATTTTGTGTGTAAAAAGAAAATAAGACCCTGTGTTATTTTTGGGAAAACATGGTATCCTTTCAAAAGATATCAAACTGTATTCATATATTTTAAAAGTAAGCAAGAAATGGGTAGACCTTAACTCAGTCTTACCTCAAGCTATATTATATCATGTATTTTAATAAATAAATAAATGAAGAAGAAACTAAGCTATTAATTGGATCACTTTGGGAAATTTTTGATAAGCCACTAAGTTGGTATCAAATTTTGTTCGGTGTAAAGTAAGTTGATACCACTACAAATGTCAATTATCAAGTATTTTCATTCTACCTTTACAATATCTTGACTGGTAGCACTATCCCTATTGATTCTGCAGAATAATATATCAAAAAGCTGTAGAGGAAGCTTGAGTAAAAATAAGTATCCTGACCAGTCTACATTTGATGTTTTTCTGAGTGAAATGATACTTGTGGATCTGTAATTCATAGTAGAGAACAATATGGTGGAAAATGAGAAAGAATGTTGTTCAGATGATAGCTATGACTTTTAAGTGAGTGTGTGTGTGTATTGTTTTATAATTAAAATTCCAACTTTTATGAATTGTTTCATATTATGGGAAACTCCTTAGGAACATCAGATAAATTAACTTTAAAAATGTCTATCACTATAGAGCGTTGAAATTTATTTATTTATTTATTTGTCTTGTATGCCGCCCACTCCCGGAGGACTCCGGGCGGCTCACAAAAGACAAGGGAAAGGGGGGAACGAGACAAAGACAACATATTAAAAACAAAAATTACTGTTATTGTTTCATATTCATTGTCTATTTTGGTTTAATAATTTTTCTACTGTTTTGCTTTCCATAAATAATATTTTAAATCAGTATTGTATATTAATTTGTGTGCAATAATATTTATTAGACTCATTGTAAATGTATTCATATGCAAACTAGATTTTTTTAAAAATTAATTTGATGGTCTTATTTGTCTTCTTGGAATATATTCAGGGATTGTCATCATCTTGGAATTCAAAACAATTTTGATTATGAGCGCTTCATTAAATTTGCTCGAGTGTGCCAAGTGAAAGATATGATGCATATTTGTACCCGCGACAAGGTAAATTCCCTTAGACAGATTGTGTATTTTGTTTATTTCACAGAAGTATCTCTGCTGGAGAATTTTTACTGATTAAAATAATTTTATCTTTATAGAACTCTCATACAAATTTTTTGCAATGGTCATTGTATTACTGTGTTCAAGAGCAGTTTTTTTTTAAAAAAACCACTATTTCTATTTAGAAAAACAAACCAATATCAGGAACCTATAGTAAAATTGATACAATAAGATTGCAATAATAAATAATGATCCTTTTTAGACTTATGAGAAGCTATGAATGGGATGAGAATTATAAACTCTTGATATATAGCATTACATAGTAAATATTTTATTCATAATAAATGTTCCAGAAATGTCCCCTATTTCTTCAAAATAGTCATCAGTATTCATTTCTGGATATCTAAGGAAAAAGCATTTGAAGAGAGTATTATTACTGACCATTAAAATTAGTCAGAGATTTTGCAAGTGGACAGTTTTGTGAATTAGTTGGTTAATATTACCCTCAATGCTGTATTGTTTTGCAACTATAGTTTTAATAACAGAGAAATAATATGTTTTATATTTAAAAGGAGGTTGGAAATTTGTATGACATGTTCCACACACGAAACTGTCTGCACCGCAGAGCATATCAGCACAAAGTTAGCAACATTATTGAAACCATGTAAGTTTGAAAGGATCTACTCTGTGGGAGTTCTTGATCAAATCAACACTTATAAAAATATGCATTTTAATAGTTTTAAATCTGCATATATTTCAATGAACAAGATATTATTTGAAGAAATTATATCTCTACATGATTAGGGAGGAAAATGCTGCTTCAATAAGGTTTGATGTCTAGCTGTACTTTTTATAAATAAATTGTGTGCAGTTAACATACTTAGAAGAGTCATTGATTTCTCAAAAGATTTTTAATAAATTAATCTAGCCAATTAACTTTTTCTCTGCTAATGTAGCTCAATTGAACATACCCTTTCCTTTCCCTCTTAATCATTGTCAAAGTAGATTTCATTGAAGAAGGTAAATATTGTTTAGATTTAAGTATAATTAAATATATAGTTTCTGAAAATACAGTTTTTAATAATTTCTAATTCGTATCATCTATTTCATGTTAGGATTACTGATGCCTTTCTAAAGGCTGATCCATATATCAAAATAAAGGGCTCAGGTGGAAAAATGTTCCGGATCTCTACAGCACTGGAAGACATGGAAGCCTATACCAAGCTGACAGGTGAATGAATTGAATTGAATTGAATTTTATTATTTGTATGCCGCCCTTCTCCGGGAGGGACTCAGGG